TCCACAAAGTCCATGGTGTTCTGTATGTGGTGTTCTGAGCTGCCAACTAAAGGGATGAGTACAGACGCCAGATATTTGGAAACATTGTAAGTGACAGAGTTAATCATGCTAACGATTGGTCTTAAAGATACACCTTGTTTGTGGATTTTAGGTAAACCATACAGACTAGGTGTGGCCTCCCCTGGGTACAGTCTGTGGTACAGAATACGGTCAATAGCCTTGTCCTGCTCCAAATTTTTCAGGCAATCTATTAACTTGTACATCACAAGTCGCCACAAAAAAAAAAAAAGGTCACACACTGATATTTGGTTGGACCTCCTTTAGCTTTGATCACATCGTGCATTCACTGTGTCATTGTTTCGATAAGCTTCTTCAATGTCACAAGATCTGTTTCCATCCAGTGTTGCATTAATTTTTCACCAAGATCTTTCATTGATGACGAGGCACTAGTCATGATGGTGCATCACTTCACCTGCCTCTCTTCTGACCCTGATGCACCATCACTCTGGAACAGGGTCAATCTGGACTCTCAGACCACATGACCTTCTTCCATTGCTCCAGAGTCCAATCTTTATGCTCCCTAGCAAATTGAAGCCTTTTTTTCCAGTTAGCCTCACTGATTAGTGGTTTTCTTAAAGCTACACAGCTGTGTGTGGAAATGCTCTTACTTTCACTATTAAACACAGCCCTGAGTGCTACAGTTGTTTTTCTTCCATTTGATTTCACCAAACGTTTAAGTGATCGCCGATCACGATCATTCAGGATTTTTTTCCGGCCACATTTCTTCCTCGATGACGATGGGTCCCCACTATCCTTCCAGTTTTTAATAATGCCTTGGACAGTTCTTAAACTAATTTTAGTAGTTTCTACAATCTCCTGAGATGTTTGCTCTGCTTGATGCCAATGATTTGACCCTTCTCAAACAGTCTGACATCTTTTCCACGACCACGCCATGTGTCTTTGACATGGTTGTTTAAGAAATGAGGAGCAACTCATTGCCCCAGTTGGGATTAAATAACTTGTTGCAGCTGAAAGATAATCACCCATACAGTAATTATCCAATAGGAGGTTCATACCTGTTTGCTTAGTTTAATCCAGGTGGCAACTTTTTTTTTTTGGCCAGGCAGTGTATGAAGTAGGCGGTCGGCGCATGCCCATTGCTGTCTCTTTTTATCGCCAATATACATGTTTTATTACACATGTGCTACACATGCTGATGTTCTACAGTCTGTCTAATATATTTAATGAATGTGTGTGATATTTCCTTCTTTCTAATTGGTCATAAATGCACCATTAAAATACACAGGGTGAGGCAGAAAGTCTTGTGCCACACCAATAGGAGGCAGTGCTGCCCCATATGGACAATGAAACAGGTGCAAGTCGCTGTGTGTTCTTCTGTTACCCAGAGGGGCGGGGGGTGAAGCAAATCTATAACAGTACACTTGTTTAAATTTGTTTAGACTAAATGGAAGGTCATATCTCAAAACTAAAACAATTTTTTTTTTACTCAATTTCCCGTCGAAACCAGTGCTTAAATGGAGCCGGATACTGCCGGGAACTCTTTTATTTTGACAGGGTGCTTCCGATAACTGTTTGCTAGGATCTGGTAACTCTCAGGCTTATAAATAATAAAGTTATGGTCAAATATGACAGCCTTGAGCGAATAAAACTTATACTGGATATGTACACAGAAAATAATTACATGAGCACTAATTTGAAACATAAAAGCATACGATATGCCTCTTCAACTGAAGCATTTCCACGTTACAGACGAGTCAATGGCTTACCTGTCACAAACCTCACCGCATTTCATTGGAGCACAGGTCCCAGGGATGGTGTGTTGGGGACAGAGCTGGCACCAGGACTTTGGCAATAGGTCCTCAGAGTTATGTTTTCGGTCCTCTGTGAATCAGTGCTGCTCTGGTGATTGATGCAGGTGGACGATGAGGTTGCGATGCGTGGTGTACTGGGCCAGTTTAGGATTCATGCTCCATGTGGATAAGTTTTTAAGATGTCGCTCCAGAAAAGAATAGAATCTCTTATACTGAGATCAGTCAGGTGTGGTTGCTTCAAACTCAACCAGTCGTCATCATTGTCTCAAAATCACATAATAAAATTCATAAATATAAAAAAAAAATCATAAAATGTAAAAGGATTTTAAACAATTGTGCATTTCAGATTACATATAGAGCAAAAATACTTTAATTTTTACAAGGGACACCCACATTTGATGAGAAATAAAACTGTAACACCTGTCTTTTTGTGTGACCGCGCCAACATTGCATCATACAATAGATAAGTTTAGTTATTTCTACAGAAATCAATGTAGCAACAGCTAAGTAGCTGCTTTTTCCATAGAGTTCTTTGAAGCACTTCCAGTGCAGACAGGGGCACTTCCTGTGGGTATGTTATGTTTCTGCTGTAATAACTGTATAATGCAAAGTGAAAAGACTTAGAAAATAGCATTTGCATGAACCACCTTAATATTTTATTTAAGGCATTGTTTTAGGAAGACTGATTATTTTGGCACAACACATGGACTAGCTGTTAGCTTTCTGATGGCATTAGCATTGACAACTTTTACAAAGCAAGACATGTCTTTTTAATTCGTATTTAAGTGGTAATGTAAATATTATTGAGTTTGACTTTTAATTATTTTAAATTTGCTTTATCACTATGCTTATTTTTTGTTCTGTTTTGGTTTTGTCCAAGTTGACTATCATCGATAGATGGCGGTAACGAGCGCAGGCCGTCATTATTGTACATATTAAAGGAGACGAAGAAGAGTCGCCAACCGCCAATAAACTCCACGAAGAAGAAGTTACCAGGGAAACCCGCTGTCCGTGAATCCGCCTGCACCGAGGCGGGATTATTTTTATCCTTTTTTTTGTTGTCGTGCTTCGCTTAAAAAGACCGACAGAACCCGAACCTGGACCTCTTTAGACCCGGTCCAGACGAAGCTTAACATGACTCAGCAAGGCGCTGCACTTCAGACCTACAACAACGAGCTGGTCAAGTGTAAGTGAGGAAGTATTATATTTTCTTCAGTCCAATCAGGTCAAGATGATTTATTTAAAGCAATCATTTACATTTTGTTAATTAAACCTTACTTTATGTGGAGTAAACTATTTAAATTTGAAAGTAAAGAGCCTTCTTACCTGAATGTCACTTGAATTCTTGATCAAATCTAATTTCTCTCAGATATGAGGGAAGCTCTGTTCCAACACTTCCCAGCTGTCACATGGTGGTTAATCTGTGCACAATCCTGCAGCCTCTCTGTCTGTGTCAGATTACCTGATCTGACTGGTGTACATAAACAATTTGAACCTTTTTTTTTGTATAAAAGTGTTTGTCAGAAGTTGGGTTGAGCAAAAGTTCTGTGTGTTTTGAAGCTCAGGAACATCATTTGGACCCCACAGAAATGTCACAACGCGCGTCGTCAGATTTATCAGCAGCCCGAGCTTCACGTGGACTGACGTTTATGTTGTGTTTCCGTCAGGTATCGAGGAGCTGTGCTCGAAGCGGGAAGAGCTGACTCGACAGATCAAACAGGAGGAAGATGAGAAGGACCGTCTGCAGCACGACATCCGGGTCCTCTCTGAGAAACTGAGCCGGGTCAACGAGAGCCTGAGCCGAAGACTCGCTGCCCGTACAGCACTGGACCGCACCGTTGCTGAGACGGAGGCTGCGTACACCAAGGTGGGTCAGGTCACCCCCCCACCCTCACTGTACAGAACCAGGACTCATCGGACCACAAGACCTTTTCTGGTTTCTCCATAGTCATCTCTTTATGCTCCCAAGTATCAGATCTGATTTTAGTCCAAGTTTTAATCTTTTACCTCTTATAGGCGAGCGCAAATGGCAGCAGCAGCAGCTAGCTGTAGCACCTTCAGTGCAACCCTTTATTTCCTGCAGGAATACCATATTTCTCCAAAACTAACAATGTAATTCAAAACTTGCTGGTGGTTAATGTTAGTTTTAGGGACTATGGCAGAGGTCCACTTTGGTCCAGACCCCGCTCTGACTAGCCGTTAGCTCATCAGTCCTGAACTAAACCCAGGCTGCTTATCTACAGGTGACCTGTTAAAGGTACTCGCACAGCAAGCTCTCAAATCTAACGTTAGAAAAACTAACCGGAAGACGCAGTTTGAGTTAATAGTTACAAACATATTGATATGCAAGTCTGAAATACAGGTACTCACTGTTATCTGTGTACTTTACAAATCCGAGCGTAAATACTCAGATGTTTCAAAATAGTTTTCAGTCACTTCAGCTGCGTTTGTGGTTAAACACAGTTGGCGGGTGGCATTTTTTATTTTTTCATTGAACCTAATTAATAAATAAGCATGTTGATATAATAAAACTTGTTTCTTGCTTTATTATGTTTATTTTGACTGGTCTTTACAGCATTTATTGGTACTAATACTTTGAGTTCTTTCATTTGATTAAACTCTGACCCAGGTTTTACGGACTCTCCAGCCAGAGTTGTTAGTTTTTGTTTCTCTGGGGTTTAATAACTCGCCGAGCAGCTCCCGGCTCCGCTTGTCGTCTCAGCAACTTTCCGCCTCGTCCTCCGTGTTGTCGCTGAACTCCCTTCACGCTCCCGTTTAATCAAAGAAAGCAGAAACTCCTCAGACCGAAGCAGTAATTCTCGTCTCCCGCCGTTGCGCCACTTCATATGATTTTTTTTTCCCTTCTGTCGTACAGATCTTGGAAAGTTCCCAGTCCCTGCTGAGCGTTCTGAAGCAGGAAGCAGGAAACCTCAGTAAGGCCACGGAGCCTCGGCGAAAGGACCATTAACGGCAAGAGAACGTACCTGAACTCCGTGGGAACAGATTTTGCACATTTAAAGACACTTTTTGTGTGTTTTTGTTTTCTTAAAGGCAATAAATGTATTTTAACTATCACTTGTGATTGTTTTAGACCCAACTGATGTTAATAATGAAGGCTAGACTCATTTATTTGTTCAGGTTTATTTATTTAGCTTTTATTTGTACAAGTATGACATCTTTTGTTTTCTTTCCCACTGGTCCAAAATATTGACAGTACATTTACATTATGCACATCAGCTGTGAAATAAAGGATGAAAAAGATGGAGCTTCTACCACAGAGTCCAACAGAAGAGGACAGGGAGGTGGACCGCCGTCTGTCCTCCTGCTGGTGTCTTTACAGATGATGGGTGGAGTTCCTCCCCACGTTTGGTCCTTGGGGTCACAGGAGAGCGAACGCGTTTTGGTCGAGGACGGCAGCAGGCGTGTCACATGACCACAAGCCGACGTCCAAACGGGTTCAAAAGACATTTTTAGGTTTGAGTCCGGTGTTCCTCACATCACCGCTGACCGTTTGTCCGCACGCTTTACGAGTTCTGCTGTTGTGCTGCTGAGGCACAACGTTCTGACCCGTTGGCAGGACGCGCTCGGGTGTTTTCACCGTCGCAGTTTGAGGCACTAAAAAGGATCGTCGATCGGTAATTTTCACATATCTGCACTTTTAAAATTACTTCTACGTGTATCGACTCATAAAAACTAAAATTCTGCAAGTTTTTTTTTCAGGAAAGTTTTAAACCGTCTTTATATTTTGCCTCCAGGCAGCCGGACTCGTGCCCGACCACAGCAGGACATTTAGCGGCGTGAGCTCAACAGATGAAGGAACTGAACAAAAGAAGAATCAGGCCAAAAAAATAAAAACATCTCCTCAGTAGAAGATCAGTATCTGAAAGTCCCTTCTTTAAGAAAAAAACAAAAATCTGCAAAAGCGTCATCCTTCAGCTGATAATCTGCATCAGCTCTCAAACTCTCCATCAAAATAACAGATTAAGTTTCTAACTATAGTTTGTATCTCGGATCAATCAAGGTGAAAATATGTGATTATCATGTTGATCAGCTTCGAGAATCAAACTTGCAGCTAAAATCCTATTTTTTCTTGTTAAGTGGTGTTTTTTTGTTTGAAGATTTGACTAAAGAGCTTTGTTTTGATGAGGAACAAGCCACCAACCCCCTTGGAGCTTTTCGTGTCCAACTGAAAGAAGCAGACCAACTGTGGATTAAAATAATCCAGAAGAGTCTGGCTGCTTGGAACAAATTATAAATTATACACATTCATTTAAAAGCGGGCGTTTGCAAACGGTCAGCGGTGAGGATGAGCGAGCGGGGAGCGTTTGTTTTCGGGCTGCTCACAGTGACGAGGCCAACAATCGTTACACTTTTAATACAAATCTGTGGCAAAAGTTTCAACAAAACAAACATGGCAACCATCGGCTGTGCATTCATCCTGTGCAGCCGAAGAGCTCTTCATCAGTTTTAGTGGTTTCACATCGGCAGAAACTCCTTCTTTTAAGTGCACGTTTCCTCTGTTGCCCCGTGTCATGACTCGTGAGGTGCAAAACGCAGCTAAAAGCACGACAGTGCAAAACAAAAACAAATAGAAAAAACATTGAACATCCAAAACGACAAAATCCAGCTTAAATCTTCGTGTTGGAAACTGTACAGCAATACTGGCCGAGGGCTCGAATCAGTTGGCATCATGAGGAAAACAAAGTTGCATATTTCATAAAAAAATCTGGATTAAAAAAAACACATCCTTCATAAACGGTGCGTTCACTGAACCTATGGAATGTCGGAGAACACGGTTACATCCAGCGGGGCGGCGGTGGTTTTACTCCTGGTTCCTTTTTTAAAATAAAACAAGACGTGCAGATCTGAGCTGGAACAAACACGAGAAGCCGAGAGGTCGCGGTTTACAGTCACTAAAAAATTACAGACATCATTGGCCAAGGTCACTTTTTCTGGTGAGAAATGAAAGCTGCTACTGATTGACAGGTTCCTCCCGCCGCCTCCACCCGACGAACCGCTTTAATACATTATTTTACAGCAGGAAATAGGAAGTAAAAAGGCCGAGCCGAAACCAAACGTGCACGTACAAAAAAGAAACAAAAGTAAACAAATGTGGCACCTTTCACCTTTTTTTTTTTGTTTTCGTGTTTAAATCTGCCGTAAACAGAAACGTCCTCCAGATTTATTTACGTTTTCGTGAACTCCTGGAGGAAGTAATGACGCGTTGCCATGCCAACGCTGAGCTCCGTCACCGTGGCGATGCAGATTTTTATCTTTTCGTTGTCCTGAAGTGGAAAAACGTGGAGCGGCGCCGACAGATCAACTGTCTGGGTCCAGCTACAAACAGCCCGGCTGCTTCGTCGTGAGGAAGAGGAGCTCCACAGCTGTGGCGGGAAAATAAAAATTTAAAATAAAGCTGCTCCCCGTGGGGCGGGGGCGCCATGGGCTTCCTGCGAGTTCTGCAGACGGTCGATCAGAAGTAGAGGGCGGGTTCGCTGCTGTAGTCGGACAGAGACGAGCTGTCCGCCGGAGTGAGCTGAGGACAAAAGACACCGTCAGGGTTTGGGGTTAACCGTGCAAAAGTCTTAATGCAGCTGTTGCTGAAAGGGCGAAGCGACAACGCTCGATTTACAGCTAACGAGCTTAAATCTGGACATAAATCTAAGAAAGCCTCTGTCCTGCACAACGAATCATCCACTCACTGATCCATTTTACTCGTGCTTTATCAGAAGTATCAAACATTTATGTCTATATTCTTTATTTATGAACAGCACCTGCTCAGGATTCGTCCATTTACGAATACGTTGAATGAAATGACCCGATCTGAACTTTAAAGTAATAAAAGACGGACCCTAAATGATCCGGTGAACTGAAGGACGTGCTGCATATCAGCTAAATTAGAAAACATCTTAATAAATTATCTCCAGAGCAGCTGATTGGGTCTGGATTTAATAAGAAGTTCACTGAGCGATTAATCAGGTCTGACTCTTAACGATGAACTGTTTCCCCACCATGACCTCCTCGGTGATCTGCGGCGAGCCGGCGTCTTCCAGCCGGACGGTTTCCTCGTGTTTGTTCTCCTGCCAGGCGCTGAAGTCCACCGAGTGTTTGGGGACGTAGCTGGAAAGGTCTGCCAACGAGAAAAAACTAAATCAGACGCCTTATATTACGTCCACGCGCTTCTTTATTCATTTATGAAAGCAGGTTTTGTATCATTTGATTAACTTTAAGAAGAGGTGGGTGTAGTTCTCATCTTGTCCAGTAGGGGTCTCTGTAATCCCACCTATAAATCGTTTTAGTTTATAATTTTAATAATTTTCTGCACAAAGTTTCAGCTCCTACATGCACATCTGTTTGACCTCTGGAAGGACTCACAAGATATTTATCCCATCCGCATTCATCTGAGAAAGTTTGTTTTTGTTTATTTTAATCATAGTTTATCATAAAAACAGGACAAAACAGTCGTTTTTTTTAGCTGAATCTTGCAAACGTTCACGTTAAATAAAATACTTAAATTTTATTATTAAAATCTTTTAAATTAGGACTAAATTTGCAATGAAAGCATCTTAAAATTGAAATAATTAAGTTAGTCCTGCGTGGCTCTTTCATTCAGCAGTTGTGTTTACAAGGGAGGAGAAAAATCTTTAGAATAAAATCAGTCGGTATTATAAAATCTGAATAAATCTCCATTTTTCAGACGGATTTTAAACGTAACATTTAACCAAACGCCGTTTCTGTTTTGCCTAAATTTAACTACGGAATTAAAAAAAAAATCTCCCTTTTTGCGTTTATTCTAAAATTTATATTTTCTATTTCCGTGGCGCCGTCTCACCGTTGCCGTTGTCCGAGCCGATGAGGCCGGGCCGGGGGATGTGGATCCGTCCCACCATGCTCGGCTGCTCGTCCCGTTTGTCCTCGCTGTCCTCCTCGCCACTGTCCCACGCGCTGCTCTCAGACGGGTACTCGTAGGTGCTCTGCAGCCTCGACTCGTTGAACGAGATGCTCAGCTGCAAAAAGAAAAGGAGACGAAAATTAAGAAAAATTATTTGAAGGCTCGGTGGTTCGGGAGATATTTTGCTAACAGACGCCTCCAGCGGTGGTTCCTCATGAACACCTGGAGTCGGTCTGAGAATTTGTTTACGCCGCATTTCTTTGTTTACAACCTTGATTTGAACAAACGGCTCGCTTTGTTTGAAGAGGTCAAAGGTCAGGATTTACGAGGATCAGATACGGTCTCGGCTGAAACCGCGACAGGAAGTCCGTCAGCCGGAGGCGAGCGTTATGAGCCGCAGGCCGTTTCTTCCTTATTGCAGCGCGGTCACAGCATCGTCGCCATTTTACTCCGTTCATTCGCATGTTTTTGCTCCATGTTTGTCAGCAAAATATCTCATGAACCACTGGACGGATAGCAAGGAAACTTGGGAAATGAACGACTTTGACTGATTAACTTTTGGAGCCAAAGCAAATCAAGATGGCCGCCACAGCTGTGCAACTTTAATAAAAAGCAAAAATGGCAACAGTTCAGCTAATTTGACAAATGTTTAGCTGAAACTCGGCGTGGTGGTGGCTGAGACTAACCTTCAACACATAACTTGAGGGCAAAACCATCGCATGAGGAGTTTGTGTCAAACTTTGTAAATAACTTAGTTTCTAACAGAGTATGTCTGTTAGCAAAATATCTCATGAACCACTGGATGGATTTTAATGAAACTTTCAGGAAGTAATCACTGGATGTTCCTCTACAAGTGATTAACTTTTAAAGTCAATCTAAAACAAAATGGCAGCCACAACCAACAGATGTTGAAAAACACAAAACTGGCTACAACTCTGTGAGCTTCACATATGTCAAGCTAAAACTTGGTGTTGTAGTAGCTGAGAATGATCTATAACAAAGAGTCGAAGTGAAACTCTTTGTGCAAGCAAGATCTTTGCCTAAAACTGTTGGAAATCAACACTGTCTGTTAGCAAAATATCTCACGAGCTGCTGAATGGATTTTAATGGAACTCCCAGAAAGTAATTGGTGTGTGCAAATTAACAACTTGTTAACTTTGGGAGTTTATCCATTTTAAGATGGCCACCACAGCTAACCAACAACACAAAGATGGCTATAACTCCGCTAGTTTAGCAAATTTTAAACTGAAGTTCGGTGTGGTAGTAGCTGAGAGTCGTTCACCACACACACTCTGAGAGGCATCTCTTGATGCAATGGCTACAACTCCTCTCCAATTATTCAAAAGACGATTTCAGTCTAAAACTCCGGCCTGAAAAGTGGCGATGCCTTCAAGGACCTTTAAGGCCTTTAAGTGATGCGTTCAGGCAGAAATTTGTCCAAAACACAAAAGGTGGATTGTCGAGAGCGACGAACGAGCCGCAGACGGTTTCAATAAACCGGAACTATAAATACGACCGTAGGCGTCACCAGCTCAGAAAGGTTTTCCGTTTCTCCTCCGGTGTTGCCATGGAGACCACAGATGATACAAACAGGCAGAAAGCAGCAGGTTTGTTCATCGTGCCCGAGATGATCAGCTGAATCTGTCCTGATCATCATCATCATCAACAATAACGACCAGTCAGAGCAGCTGGACCTCAACGTTTTTACGACGTCTGTTAGAGTCACCCCCACCCTCATCCGGAGGGGAGGGGGACACTTTAGGTTGTTTTGTTGCCAAAGATCCAGGCCCAAACCTTCAACTGGTTTCTTACATCATGCCCTGATAATGACACCCCCACCCCCGGTCCATGCATTTGTCACGTCTAGACCGGACTATTGCAATGGTTTGTTATCTGGGTGTCCAAGTGCATCTTTAAAGCGTCTTCAGCTGATCCAAAAAGCTGCTGCCAGAGTCTGAACTGGAGTTACTGGGTTTCCAGTGTAAAAGTCACATCAGTCAAAAAAGGCATCATGAAGAGGACAAAAACAAAAACAAGTCGCATTTATTATGCACCACCGCTGACCCATCGTGTTTATTATGCGTTTATTTAACGGTCAGAGCAGCTTCATTTCGCCTTGACAGCGCGGCGCCATCCATCCATCCAACCATCCATCCATCCATCCATCCATCCATCCATCCATCCAACCATCCATCTATCCATCGGAGCCGCTAGCCCTCCAGCGTTCCTCCTCCTGCACCAGCTGAGTGAAGCGAGCGTGCACGGGAGGACTCGCTGTTGCAGTTCTTAGAAATTTAAAGCATCAGTCAAAAATTACGTTACGAATATGGAAAAATAAACCCGTATACAAGTCGCAGGACTGACAAATCTATGCAAAAACCTGCAACTTATACGACGGACAATACGGTCATAGGAGAGATCATACCTGCAGTTTTAGCTTCTCTCCACAGCTCCCCGTCAACTTCCTACTTCTAACCTACAAAGCCCTCAACAACCTAGCTCCATCTAATATTCGAGATCTTAATGTTCCATATTTTCCTAACAGAGCAGTTCGCTCTCAGACTGCAGGTTTACTTGTGGTTCCTAGAGTTTCCAAAAACAGAATGGGAGGAAGAACTTTCAGTTCTCAGGCTCCTCTCTTGTGGAACCAACTTCCAGTTTCTGTCCGTGAGGCTGACACATTTTAAGACTTTCTTTTTTGATAAATCCTATAGTTAGTGTCGGTTTGGGTTTCCTAAGCTGTCCCTTAGCTATGCTGCTATAGGCTTAGACTGCTGGAGGACAAACTGACCTCATTTCCTCTCTCTGCTGCCGTCTCTACTTGTTCTACTCAACCTATTTATAATTATTTCCATCCTTGGTGTCTTTCAGGTTCACCTGCACCTGCACCTGCACCTGGACCTGCACCTGCACCTGGACCTGGACCTGGACCTGCACCTGGACCTGCACCTGGACCTGCACCTGGACCTGCACCTGCACCTGGACCTGCACCTGGACCTGGACCTGCACCTGGACCTGCACCTGGACCTGGACCTGCACCTGCACCTGGACCTGGACCTGCACCTGGACCTGGACCTGCACCTGGACCTGGACCTGCACCTGCACCTGGACCTGCACCTGGACCTGCACCTGGACCTGCACCTG